TTGTGCCGCTAAAGTGGAATCTTCTTACTGGACCCCAGAATTCAGTTTCCAAACGGTGACCGTTCCATTTGGGGCTGGGCCTTGGCATCTTTATTCACGCACTTCATAACTCAGGAGCTGGTCTGCAGGATGGGGAGCAGGGAAGAGGGTCAAATCCTGCCTACAGTGTAGGCCTTGATTACAACTCTTGGTGCCTTTGGTGACAGAGGAGTAAAACTGAGTTGCTGAAATAAGGGCTTGGAGTTTATGTATGAATTTCAAGTGTCTGTGATATTTCTATTTGCATATCAGGGAACTCGAATGTGGCATATCCTGCGGAAATTGGCACGTGTGTAAGGATTCCTGAGCAATTAGATGGAGTTAACGGGTTTCCCCCATTTTACTGGCTAATGTTTGCTCTGTTTAGGAAGGGACTGATGTGTGTCTGGTGGTTCTGCCTGTGTCACCTAAGGTCACCATTCTGTCCTTTCAGGAGCTGAAAACACCACACTTTGAACCTGCCCTTTGACTACTGGTTGTTCATGTTTGGCAGCCTATAGAGTGCATTGTCTTCCCTGCGTGTTTTAATCTTGCAACACATGAAGCCTAGGGAATGAAATAGCCACATAATATAAATTGCAATAATCAGCTCTTGACAGATTTCTGCAAAATGTTTGTGGATAACTTCCTCGAATGTCCCGAGACATTCTACAATGAATCATTGTCAATGTTTCAGAGAGAAAGAAAAATGAGATAGTTATCTATACTATTTCTTCACTCTAGTATTGCATGCGCTTGGAAGCCAACCAGATTTCTAACAGGGTCTACAATGTCAGCCAGAATGTACAGAATACATAGTAGGGGCTAAGATTAAATTCCCTTTGGTTTACTCAGATAAGCTGGGTTTGGGGTTAGTTTGGGGGATGGGAAGTAGTCACGGGCCTAATAATATAATTCACTGCCCTTGAATAAATCTTTTCTTACTTTCCTCTTCAGTTTGTGCCCATCTGTGCTTTTTATCATTCCAGAGAGTTAAGCAATATTCAAGTCTACTAAACGGCATCTGGTTTGAATATGTTCTTAAAAAATTACCATAAAAAAGTCATTAAATCACATAAACTTCTCTATACCATGAGAAAGGAAAAACAAAGCAATTCGAACAATTCCTTTATACTCTCCCGAAATTGTACAAAGATGCGGAGTTTCCCAATGAGAATGTATTTTCTTATTATCAGTCCCCAAACAGCATTACTTTGTTTGAAATGCAAACAGACAAGGATATTTTTCTGTTTAATGAAAAACAATTTCTACTCCTAAGTTGCAAACAAAGCTGCTACGTTCCCATGTCATTCCTAGACCGCTTTGAGTATACCTGAAAACACTCCAGATTCAGCCCAGCAGGTCAAGGAGCATGGGCTTCTGGGACATTTCTTGGGCCACGACTTAGGCTGGAAGTGCTCTTCAGAGCTCTCTGCACCTGTTTCTCTGCCGATATTGGCAGAAGCAGAGCCATTATTGCTGAGACTCTACGACTCTTCTTTTCTTTTTAAACAAGGGCTGTTGGCAATGTCCAGGCTCCTTCTCTTCTGCCATGGAGCCTCTCTTAACGTCCAGGAACTGCCAGTGGTCACTGGCCCAGCCCCCCCTCACCTGACATGGGCTCCAGGATCGAAATCCTGCCACCAAGGAATTCATGTTTCCTAAGTTCAGGGTAAAGAATCACCACGATTGCGTGCCTTTAACTTTCAAGGAATTCCAACTACCTTCATGGCTTAATTACAGGGACAAAATTTTATATGTGATTGGGGTGCTGTGACTTCACCATCATACTTTGGACCTAGACAATTTATTTTTTGTTTATTTTTTATTTGTTTATTGTTTAATTCATGAAACTAAAATGATGTAAGTTTCATGATTGTAGACACCTGACCTGGATGGGGTACTCAAGGTTAAGTCTTCAGCCTCAAACCAGAAATGTACATTTGTTATCTTTCAAAGACAGTGTTTGTCTGTCCTTATCAACCTTGGAAAACACATAAACAAACAAAAAACTGGACTCACTTTTTTCTTTTTCTTTTTTTTTTTTTAAGATTTATTTGTCAGAGAGAGAGAGAAAGAGAAAGCATAAGCGGGGGGAGAGGCAGGCAGAGGGAGAAGCAGGCTCCCCACTGAGCAAGGAGCCCGATGTGGGACTCGATCCCAGGACCCTGGGATCATGACCTGAGCCGAAGGCAGACGCTTAACCAACTGAGTCACCCAGGCATCCCTGGTCTCACTTTTTTTTCAAAAGAGAGACTGACTTTCCCTCTGCATTCCCTATTGCAGTGCCACTCCTTGGGAAAATGAGGAGGCATTGACCTAAATCTTACCAGCATTCCTTCTCTTGGTTGGAAACTTTCCCTAAAGATAATTTAGTCTGATCTTCCCTCTTGCCAGAGATGAGGGAACAAAGCCCAGAAAATTTTAAGGAATTACAGGCATTTGATGCAGAACCAAAGATGGAACCTCAGTTTCCCTGACTAATCCAGCGCTTTTAGAATCGTGTCACCACGTCTCTGTGTCATAAGTCACTTTGGGCACCCGGGCAAAATTTTACATACAACAATTTCAGCCATTCCAAACCAGCCTCTGGAGTGTTGTCCTTGTGCTAAAATTACACCCCTTTTCTACTGTTTGCAATAGGCCAGTGCATGTAGACGGGCTATAGTTCCCCTAGAGACTGCAGAAGGCTTCTGCACTTTGAGGAAGGCCATGGCCAGGAAAGAACTGGGATAGGGCTTGTTTTCAAGCATTCACACCATGGTAAGAAATACATTTCATATTGTGACCCAAGTCCCAAATAACATGACTACGAAATGTATATACAATATTACAGAAATAAATTCCTCAGAAAAACACTTGCCCTTACTACTTCAATGAATTCTGCTCTATTTCATTTAAAAAATATATATAGCTTGTGACCCACTGAATTGATTTATGAATGGGCATGAGTCTGTGGCTTTACTCAATGGAGACATACCTGGCTTGCCTCGTCATGCTCTTCCTGCCCAATATACAGCCAAGCATATCTGTTTCTTAATATAGGACCCAGCCACACCCTATAAAACATTTCATTGGGAGCCATCTTGGTTGGTAGTCTGCACGATCAAAGGATTCTCCTGTGGGCATATCCATGGGTGTGTCCTAGGCGAGCAGATGTTGTTTGAGGACCAGGCTTGTGTCTCCTTTTTCAAGCTGCTGAATTATCTTTTGGGTGCCCCCGCAATCTCCCTTACCCAGCAGGAATGATCAATAAATGGTTGCAGACCAACCTGTTCTCTCTATGCTGTGACCTTGAGCAAGTCACTTAAACCCTTTGATCCTCAATTCCCTGATCTATAAAAGGAAAAAAAATTAATTCTACCTCCAAGGCTGTTGTGAAAGGCAAATGATACATTAAGTGTGAAACTGCCTTTTCAACTTTAAAGTGAATGTTAGGTATTATAATTTTACCTATAACACTATAGGCCATGACGCATTAGAATTACATGTACAAATTATGCAGCAAGCTGAAGCTCTGGGAGGGTTCCTGCTGCTTCTACAACTCTCTGGTATTTAATAAACTAAGAAACACATCAATACATTCTAAAAGCAGATGATTAAGTCTGTCAGTATCTCTATGAAGTTATATGTTGCTACCTTAAAATCTATTGACTTAAATTCATAGACACTGAAACTAGAATAGTGGTTACCAGGGGTTTGAAGGAGGGAGAAATAGTGTTTCACGGGGACAGAGTTTCAGTCTGAGATGATGAAAAAGTCCTGGAGATGGATGGTGTGATGGCTGCACACCAATGCAAATGAACTTAGTGCCATAGAACTATACACTTAGAATGGCTAAAATGATAAAATTTTATGTTATGTATATTTCACCACAATAAAAAAGAAACTGGCTTAAAACCACAGCCCTTTTAGAGTTAGGATTTGGCTCATCAAAAAAATACCTTCGCAGAAACCTCTACAATAATGTTTGAAACTTTTTTCAATCTGTAAAAACAAACAAAACAAACAAACCCCCGAAAACCCCAAAAGTCTAGAGTTAGGATTTGGGCAGGGCTCAGCAGGTTCAGCCCATCTTTGCCCTATGTGGTGTCTCCTGGGACAGGCCAGCTGGGACTAGAGGATCCAAGATGGCTTCCTTTGCCACTTGGGTGCTGGCTCTTAGCTGAGGTGCCTCTGTTCTTCTCCACATGGCCTCTTGGCCTCCAAGTCTTCTCTCTACATGTGTCCTCTCTACAGGTAGATAGACTGTACTTCTTTATAAGGCAGTTAGGTTCTGACAGAGAAAGTAGAAGCTCCAGACCTCTTAAAGCCTGGGTTTGAAGTCCCAGAAAGTTGTTTCCATCACATGCTGTTGGCCAAGTGAGTCATTGGGATGGCACAGACTCAGTGTGGAAGGGGACTACATGTAGGCATAAATTCAGGGAGCACGGATCAGTTCGGGTCATTTTGTCACAATCGACTACAGCCTCCATACCCAATTGCTAGCTAGCATTTCTCCCTGCTCTGCCTGATACCAAATTCTGTTCTAGTGTCACACATACAGAGAGCAGTATAGGGTAGTGCTGAAGAGGATGGACTTTGGCATAAGGCTTGAAATGTTTTTATCGGTCGTGTGAACTTTGGCAAGTTATTCACCCCGTATCTCAGTTTTCGTACCTGTAAAATGGGGATAGCAATAGTACTTATCTCATCGTGTTGTTGTGAGTCTTGGATAAGTGAATATGAGTAAAAACCTTAATAACAGTGCCTGGCATGAAGTAAGAACTACATAAGAATTTGCTGTTACTGTTTTTGTCTCTTTTGTCAGAAAACCAAGGAAGAGGTGGTATGGTGGGGAAGGGAATATTTAGGGCTAACTAAGACAGAAAGGCTGGAAACCCTTGCTTGGGTACACAGGACCTCCCTGTCCCACAGAGTTCTCACTTACATCTAAATCCCTTGCTGACATTTAAGCCTCTTTTCTTTTGTTCTGCCCACAGAAGCCATGGAAAACAGCTGATCAACATCTCCCCATAATAATCCCCTGAACACCTGAAGACAGCTGTGAGAGCTTGAAGAATTGCTAAGGCTAATCTGAGCATAGATAATTGAGGTGATGATATGTTCAAATGCATATAAATCTGTGCCTGGGCACAGGTAGTGAGTTATAAATAGTCACCTCCCACTTCTCTTCACCCCCTTAGGAGGCTGGAGCACGGATCTTGCCTTCCCTGAATGCAACTAGGGAGTGGGTCTCCTCTTTCTGAGGGGAAGCCTGGAGCAGGTTTCTGAGGAGGAAGGTAAGGCAAGCAAGGGCTGGGAGATGCCATGTGTATGGCACTCTGCTGGCTCAAATAAGGGGTTAAGCCCAGGAGCTGATAAAATTGAGCAGTTAATTAGCACCTACTGTTTACTGCAGTGAGTTCTTGCTGAGCTCACCAGTGGCCCTAATACCTAATCCCACGGGCACTTTTCAATCCTCAGCTTCTTGGCCAGCCAGTGGCATATGTCATCCTCTCCTATTTTGGAATGAGGCAGAACATTGTGGTGTTTTTGAGTCTCGGAGTCCGAATTCCCGGATTCAAGTCCTGCTCGGCTGCTTACCAGCTGCATGATGTTACACAAGTTACTTAACGGGTCAGGTTCTTCATCTTCATGCTCATCCTTATCTATAAAATGGGATTGATAATAGTACTATATTATTGGGTTGCTTGAAATATTTTTTTTTAAATGTTTTTTTGGTAAACCTCTTAGCACATGGGGGAGACATAGTAAGAATTCAAAATATTTTTTTAGAACCCTCCTCCATTGACTTCCAGGACATGGCTCTTCTGCCTCTTGGACCACTCCTGATATGCCTCTTTTGCCAATCCTCTTTCACCCACCCCTGAAAAATTGGCAGTGCCCCCAAGATTCTCTCTTTGATCCTCTACGCTTCTGATTTTGTATAACCTATGTGATTCATGCCCCTATTCCCAACCACTATCGATACATGGATACCTTGTAAACTTTTATCTCTAGGCTAACCTTTTGTTGTTGATATCTCTATCTGGATAGTCCAAGGCTCCTTAAATTCAAAAGATCTAAAACCAGGCCTCCCATCCCTGGCTATGATGGAGTAGAAACTGGTACCGGTCTAGCCACCCAGCGTTGTTTTAAAAATATTAAACGGGGGCGCCTGGGTGGCTCAGATGGTTAAGCGTCTGCCTTCGGCTCAGGTCATGATCTCAGGGTCCTGGGATCGAGTCCCACATCGGGCTCCCTGCTCCTTGGGAGCCTGCTTCTCCCTCTGCCTCTCTCTCATGAATAAATAAATAAAATCTTAAAAAAAAAAAATATTAAACGGGACAAAATACATGAGTCAGTTGTTCCAGGACCCAAGTCTGTGGCCCTTAAGTGAAGAGAAACTCAAGAGGTGAGGCCCAGAATCACTCTGGCCCTTTATCTGAGGGCAGTGAGTTAGAGGACTGGCTGAATTGAGAGGCAGAGATCAGAATTTGGGGCAGCTGTGCGGCTGGATTCTGTAAGGTAGGACACGGGAGAGGGGGAAACTTTGTAGAGGGAGGGCTCTTGGGTACTTGGCCAAGTCCTGGGTTGTACATGGGTAAGGTGAGACTCTCCAAGGATTACCAAATGCCAGCTTCTGTGGGTTGAAGGCTGAGCATGGATATTAGAGTCCGAGCCGTAATAGGGGTCATCAGAGTTTTGGCTCAGCCTAACTGGAAAGCCATATGAATACTTCGTTAATAATACCTTAGGCATCCAGTGAGGACACTAGAAAAAACCCACTTTAAAAAATAAGGACCGTATTCTAGAGCAATAGTTCTTGGATCGTTGTCCCTTGACCACCAGCAGCAGCACCTGCAAGTTTGTTAGAGACCCTGTTGGAAATGCAAACTCTGGGGCCCCACCTCTGATCTTCTGGATCAGAAATTCGGGAGAAGAAGCCCAGAAGTTTGTATTTTGACAGGCTCTTTGGATGATTCCAATACATGCTATAGTTCAAGAGTCACTGCCCTAGAGGAAGCCTAAATAATGCCTAAAACTAAACCTTGATGAGACCCACAGGGGAAATGGTTTGAAGGTTGAGTGCACTAAATTACAGAGGATTGGGAAGATATCTGGGACTTTTCCGATGATCGGCACTAACAAAGTGGGGGGAAAAAAAGAAGAAAAACCTGCACAAGTTCAAAGTGGCCAATCAATAATTGAACTGCTTACTAGAACAAAAATTATAACTTTTCAAAGGAAGACAACAGAATCCAGAGCCTAAGCTTTTAAAATTTATCACCTGTATTCTCCAGTATTACCATAAAAAATTATACATGTGGGGGGCGCCTGGGTGGCTCAGTCGTTGGGCGTCTGCCTTCGGCTCGGGTCGTGGTCCCGGGGTCCTGGGATCGGGCCCCACGTGGGGCTCCCTGTTCCGCAGGGGGCCTGCTTCTCCCTCTCCCACTTCCCCTGCTTGTGTTCCCTCTTTCACTGACTCTCTCTCTGTCGAATGAAAAAAAAAAAATTATACATGTGGGACACCTGGGTGGCTCAGTCAGTTAAGCGTCTGCCTTCAGCTCAGGTCATGATCCCAGAGTGCTGGGATCAAGCCCCACAACAGGCTCTGTGCTCAGGGGGGAGTCTGCTTCTCTCCTTCTCCCTCTGCCCCTCTCCTCACTCATGTGTGCATGCTCTCTCTCTCTCTCAAATCAATAGACCTTTAAAAAGTAAAATAAATAAATATTCCTGATTCTCCTTTTGGGCACATGGTAGGATTGTACTTTGCTGCCTCCCTGGACTTGACTGTGGCTGTGTGACGCTTGGGCAGAAGCTTTCGGAGCCCAGACACAATGAGCCACATTCACTTCCCACTGCGGTGATGGTCCTTTCTCAAAGCTGTGAGGTATATATTGAAATGGAACCTCCATTATCCTGGGTTTCTATGTGACTATGAGGAGCATTGCCCCCTGGCCAACCTACATGGGACATGTGGCATGAGCAAAGAATTATTTTGCTTAATGATTTGGGGGCTGTTTCTTGTCACAGCATAACCTAACCCACCCTGACTAATACATTACCCTATAGGATCACTGTGAGGATTAAATTAGATAACATAAAGGGGCACCTGGGTGGGGGCTCAGTTGGTTAAGCGTCTGACTCTTGATTTCAGCTCAGGTCATGATCTCAGGGTTGTGAGATCGAGCCTGGTGTTGGGCTCTGTGCTGAGTGTGGAGCCTGCTTAAGATTCTCTCTTTCCCAATACAAATCAAAACCTCAATGAGATACGACCTCACACCAGTCAGAATGGCTAAAATTAACAGATGACAGATGTTGGTGAGGATGCAGAGAAAGGGGAACCCTCCTACGCTGTTGGTGGGAATGCAAGCTGGTGCAGCCACTCTGGAAAAAAGTATGGAGGTTCCTCAAAAAGTTGAAAATAGAGCTACCCTACGACCCAGCAATTGTACTACTGGGTATTTACCCCAAAGATACAAAAGTAGTGATCCGAAGGGGTACATGCACCCCAATGTTTATAGCAGCAATGTCCACAATAGCCAAACTATGGAAAGAGCCAAGATGTCCATCAACAGATGAATGGATAAAGAAGATGTGGTATCGGGGTGCCTGGGTGGCTCAGTCGTTAAGGGCCTGCCTTCGGCTCAGGTCATGATCCCAGGGTCCTGGGATCGAGCCCTGCATCAGGCTCCCTGCTCCTTGGGGAAGCCTGCTTCTCCCTCTCCCACTCCCCCTGCTTGTGTTCCCTCTCTCACTGTGTCTCTCTGTCAAATAAATAAAACCTTTAAAAAAAAAAAAAGATGTGGTATCTATCTACAATGGAATATTATGCAGCCATCAAAAAAATGAAATCTTGCCATTTGCAATGACGTGGATGGAACTAGAGGGTATTACGCTAAGCGAAATAAGTCAATCAGAGAAAGACAATTATCGTATGATCTCACTGTTACGAAGAATTTGAGAAACAAGACAGAGGAGCATAGGGGAAGGGAGGGAACAATGAAACAAGATGAAACCAGAGAGGGAGACAAACCATAAGAGACTCTTAATCTCAGGAAACAAACTGAGGGTTGCTGGAGTGGAGGGTGGTGGGAGGGATGGGGTGGCTGGGTGATGGACATTGGGGAGGGTATGTGCTATGGTGAGTGCTGTGAATTGTGTAAGACTGATGAATCACAGACCTGTACCCTTGAAACAAATAATACATTATATGTTAATAAAAAATTAAAAAAAAAGATTTGATAAAGCTGTGTGAGAAGAATGTGGATGTTTATTATAATATTCTTTATAACTTTCTCTGTGCCTAAAATATTTCATAAAGAAATCTTCATTTAAAAAAAAAATTTCTCTCTCCCTCTGCCCACCCTCTCTCTCTCTAAAAAAAAATATATTAGATAACATATGTCAAGTGCGTAACACATGTGTTAGCACTCAGGACGTGTGAGTAATCATCATTCTTGCTCAAACCCTTGTAGTAACCTCCAAACACTGGTCTCCAACCCTGCCTCATTTACTCCAACTACATTGCCACCAAAGCCATTTTCCTAAAATGCAAATCTGATCATCCCACTTCCTTATTTAAATTCCTTCAGCTTCTCCTGACTTTGATAAAGCCTAAATTCCCTAGCAGGGATCAAGACCTTCCATGGCCTGGACCCTGTCTGCTTCTCCAGCCTCACCTCCCAAAGATCCCCTGGGATCCAGCCACATTAAGCAACTATTGTTGCCTGTTCTTATGCTCTTTCTCAGCCTCTCGTATCATTGCAAATACTGTTCCTTCTGCCTGGAGGACCCTTCCTTCTCTTGCCCATCAGGCAAACTGCTTATCATCCTTTAGGACAGCTCAAAAATAATCTAGACTGATACACTCAGTAAGAATTAGCTACAGTCCTCTATTGTGCACTAATTATTTGTTTGCCTGTTTTCATCAGACTGTGACCCTCAACGGCAAGGACTGTGCCCCCTTCATCTTTGCAACCCCAGTGCCTAGTACTGTGCCTGACATGAGCCAAATATGTGTCTAATGCCTGTTTATTGAAAGAATGAAGAAATGAATATTTATTGAAATTCTGTTTCTAATACAATTCATTAATTGGGACATACCAAGGTGGGCAAAGTTTCCATTTTTTCTTCTTAGACATGGCAGAATCTAAATAGAGAAAGGTTTTCAAAATAGAAGTAGTGCAAACTAATTTGTAATTCAATATTTTTTATTCTGAAGATTTCACTACTGATCCCTAAATTCAGTAATATGTTGTCTCATCAGTATTAGCATAATGTAGTAAGTAGAGTTAATAGCTGTTGCATAAAATGCTTATTTTTTGACATTTTGACTACCTGAGATACTTTATATGACAATATTTTTGATGTAATGAAAAAAATGAACCATCAATAGATAATACATCTCAAGAATATATCTCTTATTTGTATTTTCTGGGAGGACTTTCTTTTACAAAATGTGGTTTTAATATCCTTGAACACCTGCAGTCACTTTTCTGGAAGGATTGCTGCCTTCTCTATGGCATATTTTTACTATTCCTTTAATCAGCAGTGTTCTTGAGAGCTCTTTATTGTCTCTCTTGCTGAGAAGGGTAGCATTTTTCTGTGGAGTTTTCAGAATCTTTTACCTCTACTTCTACCATAAAATCCATAACCATTACAAAGGGTAGAGACTGAGATTTTTCCAACAAAGCTTTCCCTTTACGAGTCCATGATCTAATTTCTGTGGACCATCATAAATTCTAGAACACTTATATTGCCCACTGCTATCAAACTATCATGGTTCAACAAGGCTGATGTATCCAATAGCAAAATTTCTAAATAAGAGAACTCTACAATCCTAAGAAATATATTTTCAAAGATTTATAAAGATCAGGGGGTGCCTGGGTGGTGTAGTCAGTTAAGTGTCCGACTCTTAGTCTCAGCTCAGGTCAAGCCAGGCTTGTGCTCAGCAGAGTCTGCTTAAGACACTCTCTCTCCCTCTCCTTCTGCCCCTCCTCCCTTTATTAAAATTAAGATTTTAGTAAAAATCTTAAGAAAAAAGATCGTGTGCACGCAATAATTCATAAGAAGAGGAATTTTGGGATCCAAGTATAAACTGACCTGTGTACATCGTGTGAAGCAGAGTACAGGCACCCAGAGTGACTTGGAGAAGGTATTCACACAGAAAACCGTGCAGGTTAAGTCTTCAGAGAAAACAAAACATGGCTAATGAAGAGATAAGTGTAGCTCCCAGTTAAGGAAGGGCATGACTCAGAACTTTAAAACGTCTGAGAAAGAACTGTGAGGGGCACCTCCCATGTGGGCTAGCTCTCAGATCTGGGAGGCGGGGTGACTGCACTTGGCAGAGGGGAAGAAAGAGAAGAGCGGAAACCTAGTTCTGGGAAGGGAAAAGGACACCTCCAAAAATATTCTCTCTTCTCGTACACCAAGACAAAAATGGCTTCAGTCACCGTTGGTAATTTCCAAAAAGGAAATTGAAAATTCCACAAAAGAAAGAGTTTGAGCAATAGCGCAGCCGTGTTGACATTGGTTGGAAAACACATTATGTGAGATGGTAATTGCGCTGCCATTTTAGGTTTAAATAGTCAGTAGCGGGCGCCTGGGTGGCTCAGTCGTTAAGCGTCTGCCTTTGGCTCAGGTCATGATCCCAGGATCCTGGGATCGAGCCCCGCATCGGGCTCCCTGCTCGGCGGGAAGCCTGCTTCTCCCTCTCCCACTCCCCCTGCTTATGTTCCTGCTCTCGCTGTCTCTCTCTCTGTCAAATAAATAAATAAAATCTATAAAAAAAAAAAGTAGTCAGTAGCATTATCAGGGGGACCTGTCAAGTGGTCACTACTCTGTGTCTGTAAGAAAACATGTTCCCAGGTGAAAATGAGGCTGGAGTATAGGCTGTTTTCAATTGTGGTGACTTGTAGTCAAGCGGCCACTTCTTCCAAGTCTATAATACCTTCAGCAGAATCTGGTTAGCCACACGGTGAAGAGAGACTGGCAAAGTGAACATTTAATGGTCACTGAACAGAAATGTCCATAAAGAAACTAACTGAATAGATACAAGAGAACAACAAAAGGAATATAGTTTCTGAGGTCAGCTCTTTCTTGCATGGTGTCTCAAGCACTCTGAACATATGGATCGTTTCTTGGTAGCATGTACTTTAGAGAAAGGCTGTCTCAGATGGCATAACAAAATTGAATCTTATTACCAAGGTGTTCCCAATGTTGATGGATTAAAATTGAAACTGTAGTTGTTGGTCTTCCATTTTCTAGACTTGTTTCAGGTAATAGACCAGGGGATATGATCGCTATTTATTACTTCAGATGAAAAATGAATGAACAAAAGTAGAAATAACAGGCTCTATGGAATTATTTGCTGATATTGGTAGGATTTCAGAGATTGGGGGTGCCTGGGTGGCTCAGTTGGTTAAGCGTCTGACTCGATTTCGGCTCGGGTCATGATCTCAGGGTTATGGGATTGAGCCCTAAGTCAGGCTTCTTGTTGGGTATGGAACCTGCTTAAGATTCTCTCTCTCCCTCTCCTTCTGCCCTTCCCCCACCCTTGTGTGTACTCTCTCTCTTAAAAAAAAAAAAAAAAGGATTTCAGAGATTGGATAGATTGGATGTGTTCTCTCCCTGTGATGGGCACTGTTCCATCTGTTGGTTCTGTGGTAGCTTGAAAAGCAAATCAAATATTAGTCTAGTGGAGACATACATTTCTTCAACTGAGTATCTTTGCATTTTCCAGTTAAAACCTGAATAACTTTTCCAATTTTAGAAAGAGATGAAAGGCTATCTTCATTTTGAGTAATATTATCCAAAAACAGCAGTTTTTTCCAGTGATGAAGAATTCCCTAATTGTTTCAGAGAATGTCTGAAACACCAAAAACTGGAACCCTTAGATTAGCCTGGGATTTAGGAATCCTCTGTGACAGAGAACTAGGCCAAGTTGAAATTGTGTTTGCACAAAAGACCAGAGATAAAGGAAATCCACCTTCAAAATACACTTGAAAAACAGTATGCCTTAAGAGCATGCCAACATCAGGAGTCAGCAATTTGGTGAGACTGAGGATTAACAGCTATACAGTATGGTTTCTATGGTTGGTTAATAATGCTCCCAAATTCAGAAAGTATTTTTTTTCTCTGACTCATATGGGTCAAGCAGAGGGCAGTGTATGGGTAGGGGTGGGGGTGGGGCTGGTGGCATATAGCTGTTAATACCATATTCTAAAATTATTATTTGACTTTATATACTTTTAATAATAATGCATAATTTATCTTAAAATTTCAAATAATCCTGAGGCTTTTATGTTGATTAAATAGACGTATTGGTCAAAATGTACCACATGTTGCATGAGGACCATTGGAGTCCCTCATTTAGACCGTTCTTTTGAAGGAGTCCAGGGTAGTCCTTTTAAATAGATTGATCACAATTCATAATAGTTATAATCATTTAAAACTACAATCTCAAGAGAAATGATAAACTTGAAATCTTCCCATCCAACCACCAGTGACTCTCAAGTTTTATTCTATAAGGATGTCTGCTCTTTCTTCCAAGTATCCACCTTTGTTAGCAGGAAAACAGACAGAGCCAACATCCCAGTGCTCCTTGTTTGTAGGAAGGTAAAGTCTTTCTGCTTTCGGAGTAGTAGCTACTTCTACCAGCACATGCTGGAACTGTGTTCAAAAGGAAGTGTGGTCAGAATAAGCTCCCAGAATAGAATATAGACCCTGATAGGAAGTGCTCAGCTGGTGCACAGACGCTTTCAGGTGATTGAACAGCCCCACGATGGCTTATCTGGGTCCTCCACTCAAAGCTTACCCTGGATGGTAGGGTCAGATTGAGCAGTCAACTGTTGCAAAGAGTCACCCAAAAGAGTGAGAAGAGTCACCCAAAACTTCCCCTGAGCCAATGCACTTGCTCTGGTTAGGTCACCAGACTTTGAACAGGTACCGGTGACTTTCTGCCTTAAATCTATGCCCATCAATCTGTTAGATTTCGTTGCCATTACCTCATGAAGAGGCCCATTATATTATCAGAAAGTTCTAGATCAACTTCCTTC